GGTCACAGGTGCTGGCGAAACGTTAGGAAACAGAACTTCAAGAACACGGCCACACAGCCCGAAAGACGCACACCAGCCATCGTATGCCGGCCGTGAAAGCCTTCGACAATACATTGGGTAAATGATACTTATTTTTACGGTATTTATTCAAAATCTCCTGCAAATTTCACTGGATAGCTTTTAAGTTCTAATTTTCATGGTAGGTTTCTCTCCCCGAGCTTATAGAAAGTGTGTCTTGGAGAATTAAATTCAGATACTTCTGTGCAAACTGCCTAAAGGTGGACAAAGATTCAACTACTAGTACTGTTGTCTTGTACATGGAATGGGAGGGACACTATCTTGCTCTGTGACTCAGGCTGCAAAGTGTCTTGGACGACCCTGGTCAATGTAATGATTTCCAACTTTACACTGGATACATAAAATATTACTAAAAATAATTAGGAAGCTTCTTTTTAGTCACAGATTTTCAGAAGTAGCCAAATCAAGTTCTGGGAATAAGAGATTTCAGTATTTGGCTGTGCAAGTAGCTATCACTTGTTAATTGAACTTTACTTACATTGGCCAGTGGCAGAAATCAAGAACTCCTGACCAAGCACAATTGTATCAAACAGCTCATATTATTTAAAGAACATGAAGTATCATGAAGGGAAGGGGAAAAAAATCACAGCATGAAGTGTATCTTAAAGCTGGGACTACAATAAAACCTATAATTTTCTTATCTTACAGTTGTGTTATGACGTTACTGCAAGGTGGTGCTAGAGTCCTGTGTGTATTTAATTACACGCTTTACACTTTAATACGCTTGTTTCTTCTTAAGTTTCTCAATAATAAAGACTTTCTTGCATCTCCCATACAATTAAGTCTTACGATAATTAGAATCTCTCCATCTAGTATTGTGACTATTACATTGGCTCAAAAGTACATCACTTACTTTTAAATTAGGAACTTATATATGAAACTGCATGTTTGATGGATTCAGAAAGGAAACTTTCAATTTGTTTTGATGCAAATTAAACATGAGGGTCCAATGAATGTAGTTACAGTATCAATGAAATGAGCCAACTGAAGCCACTGTCAGTTTTAAGTTGCAATCTACAGACTATCTACTGATTGCCTGTGGGATGCAGGATATTGTGGAAATCTTGCACCATTGGCATAGAGGAGGCCTATCATGTATTGCTCATGGAGAAATCTTTATATACCCACTGAAAGCTCTTATGGTGCAACTATCCTGCCAGTGGTGGTCCATTGGGCCAAAAACTGGGCATTCTCTGGCTGTGCTTGCAACTGAATGTATGGCACCTTTTATTTCCCAAGTTCCAATAAAGCCAAATAAAGAGACTTGAGACGAGGCTTCTTTAAG